CAAAAACGATGCCCGACGGCGTTTTGAAGATAAACACATCGTCAATCATTTGTGAAAAATTCTAAACAAAAGGTCAAAGCGTCTACGAGCTATTTTTTTTAAAGTTCTGGAATGTGCACTAAAAAGAAGCTGAGATAATTGCTAATTTGAATAACAATTCACTCAGTAAGAAGTTTGATAATGCTCATAATTAAAATGGCTGTTACAGTTTCAAATTTGAATGTATTATCGTTTTGTAAAAAGTTAAATACAGTGCATAATATGGAGATCCCGTCATTTTTTCACCATGTTTTTTTTTATTATTTATGTACAGCCTTGGTAAATCTTACTAAGCATTCAAAAGAGATAATTTTGCACTTGTTATCTATATTTTAAATTTTTTTTTTAGTATGTTCCACTATTCACAATTCTACAAAATTTCAACAGTCTATAGCCAAGACTTTTTGGATAATAAAAAGCAAAAAAAAAAAAATTCACTCCCAAGTGCCCACGAACCTGCATCTCTACCTTAACATGTCAAAATAATAAACAAATTTATTTTCAGGTGGATTTAACGTGGTTTTAATTTATCCACACAGAACATTTGTGAATATACTCTGACGACCCCACGCTACCACGGCACCGTGACGATAAATGTAGCCTGGAACTGTAGTACGCGGAGCTTTAAACTACATCCTTCACTACAAGCCGTAGCATATGCTCTCTATTTTTCTCAATATCTATACTCGTTGTTATAGTAACAAGTGTGAAGAAAACGCATCTGCTTGGTCTTACCCCTCATTTCAATATAGTACACGCATCAGTCGTCCCATCTATTCGCATTCCTGTTGTCTGATCCTAATATACATTTCGTAAAACTATGATATCTTTTCCATCTTTTCTAGTACTTGGACTGAGTCGTGTCTTACTTTGTCACGCGCCTTTCCGAACTCCATAAATCACGTGACTTATGTGTGTACCTCCTGCATCAGGCGTCGACATCATTCCAAGATCATATGTCATTTCTTGTACTGGCATCTTCCACGCGATAGCGAAATGGTTTTTTTTTTAACTGTTTTCGACTTATTCGTTCTTGCTAGCCTTCATCATTAGTTGAAACCTTGAAATATCGTTATTATATGATTCATGCTGCTGATGGTGCGAGGTAATTTGCATTCTACTGCGCTAATCTATTTTGACAGAGCGATGTAAATTTATATAATAAGACTTTCCTGGCATTGCCCAATTGTCATAAATATTGTATACGAATTCTGTTTAATTTTTCTAATACATTCATCGTTGTGCGTCATTTAGTCTTACTGATTTTCAATGCCGTTCTTACCTCTCTCCCAACTCAACGAAAGTAAATGCAATACAATAATTAATGCATACTGATCAGTAAGATAAAGCACACTTTCTCTCTAGATGAAAGCGTACATGATTAGAATGATAACTCATATACATTAAGTACTGTAAAATAGTCATACATAATTAATGATAAATCTGTGCCAAATATATGCATGGTTTCTAACAAGCTTCTAGTGGAGCGGTCATCCTTTTTTCAAATACTATTCTTTTGTCTTATTTTCAAGAACACGAGAAGCCATTATATTAATATATACATTTTTTCATTCCTGAGCCTCGTGGATCACAAATATGATACATTTTACTATTGGAACAGTATAAATACTGAATTGTGTCATTGTTGTTGTCTATAAGAACTGATTCGCACCATTATCAAACAGAACCGATGTTTGGCTACAGAAGGTCTTCGTGGCCTGAGTGTATTCTGGAATTAATAACTTTAATCAAAAGTCGATTAGATGGTACCGCAGTATTTGAGATCAGTACTCAGATAAATGCCATCGACACATGCCTTGCATAGTTTAATCACGCACTGGAGTCTGCATATCATTCCGCTGCCATATGTCTGGGCATAATCAAGACGTCAAACGCAGTCGTTTCACTCGCAAACACCCACCACTCCCTCCCTCCCTCCCGGGTAAAACCTTAGACGCAACCTTAATCTGCAAAGCGTAAATAGGGACCGGGAGTTTTGACTCGGCATGTTACGCGATTTCAGATTTAGTGAAATTTCACATCAATAAACGCATTTATGGGCTATAACTTGGTGGAATTTATTGTTTTCCCCGAAAAAAACAAACAAACAACTGTGAATCCCCATGGTTTTCTTCCTAAGGGTTTTACAAAACACTTCTTGAACGTATGTCTGCAAAAAGAGTATCTTCTACATAACGATGTTTGCAAAAACGGGTGTCAGTTTACGTTCACGAACGTAAGGGTGAAAATAACCCCAATGTAAAGATTTGTGACAACCAACGTTAATCCCTATCCCATAATTGTGCCCAAGTGAACACCAGGGTTGAAACGACAATATTCAGAAAGAGACAACTACAAAATACAAAACTGCGCAAAGCTTTAGAAATATATGTTCCAGGTGCAGAGCTTCGTTCCGACCACGCAAATGCCGTTCCGATGGTGTGATACATGTATATTAAAGGAAGCAGACCATTCTTGGCGTCACAGTATATATTGTGTTTTACCAATAATTTTTTGTCTCTTCGAACAGAAAGTTGAGCACAAGGAAAACCATTTTCATTTGATTCGATCTGATTAAAGAAGATATGGAGGGGCCATTACTTTCTAATTTATCAGTTGGAAATAATACCTTATTTTAACAATGGTGTACATATCTCACTTCATATTACTACTAAAACATTCGCTGTTCACGACATAGACACTATGAAATTCTAACGATTTATTTGATCCTATGGGGGGGAGGGGAAGGAAAACCACACGCTCGTGTCACGCCCTCAACGTACCAGAGGCGTGCATCACGTGCAAAAACATTCCAACTTGAAACGTTAACTGTGGAGAATTTGGCGGAACTGAAAAAAAAACTGTCCTTATCAAGATGTCACTTGAAGTTGGGTTCTAACTTTGTGGTATATGCCGAACATTTCCCATATATTAATGTTATATGAGAAATGCTAAAAATCAGTTGGTTTGGCCACAAATCGAGAAATATTGAAGCACTGAATCAAACCAACCGTTTGTAGTTCCACGATCAAAAATAGTTTCCATTGTTGTAATATAGGCCACTTTACTTTAGGGGAGTATTCTAAAATAGATTTTAGAATTATAATGGTGCTTACAGTCAGTGGTAGGTTTTCTGCAAAGGTACAAAGAGGGAATTGTATTTATGTACGTTATACTTGCATTCATATGACATAATAATGGTATATTAATAGAACTCAATATCCAATTTAAAATTGTTCGATCTCATAAAATACCGTAACGGAGGTGTGCGAGGGGCAACGCTTTCATACTCAGAAATAAACTCACGCACATTTTCTAAATTCCAACACAGAGGGCGCATCTCTAACTCGGTTAATCAACCATAAACTGTAAATGCTTCAACGCATAGCAAAGTTTAGAAGATAGTTCCAAGGGGAATGACAAGGCTACCAATAAAAAGGAGGAAGACCATAAACTTTGCACAAAAATACTTCCAAACCAAACATCTGTTAAGACATTCTCACGTAAACAATCTATTTTCTATTTTAACAGTCCAAAATATCTACTTATCCGAGAACGTCGATTCATCACGCACACACACACTTTTCAGCGAAAGTTGCATTCATTTCACTTCAAACCAAAAAAGTCAGATAGCCACTCTGATCACACATTTTAATATGAGAAAGCTAAAAATACCATAGAATATTCAGTTGAAATTAAACTAGAAAACGAAAATGAGCACCCACAAGTGGCCAAGGGTGGGTTACCAGATAAAAAATATTTTTTTTTTATTTGGATTCATAATAAACTTGTTATAACTGATAAATGAGTAGGGAAATTCTGACAAGAGTTTAAAGTGGTAGAAGCTATTCATATAAATCAGTCTACTACAGGCAGCAAATGAATTATTAGTGACTACAATAGGTGGTGCCTTAATTGTCACACAATTCACTGCTTCAGGTCATTAACCCTTTTGATGTGCTCCATTTCATATTGTCAAACAGCCAGAAATGGGGGCAAGTTATCTGCACAGAATGTGTGATCAGTATATCATGGCATCAATACACTTAAGACTCACTAAATTTTGAATTTCAGCGCATAATCTTAATCGAGACTGGTCATTGAAACCATTAGTGACCAAATGAAAAATGTACATTATGTAATCTGACCTGTGTTGAAGATGAATTTTATTTTCTACTGGCACACCCTATTTATGACTTGTGATCAGTATATATTGATGCATTTTTCGTTAATTTACCCTTGGTTCATAAATTGTGTACACATGTCATCTCATAATATATGTACACTGAGAAGTCTTGGCAGATACATCATTGAGAACATGAGACTGATTTACAATTGCAATGATTTATTGAATTTCCCTAACTGAACTCCAAGGTTTTGCTTCTGTATTTCTGTTTGATGTCTTGCACATATGGCCTTTGGTACTGAATAAACATACAATAATACATGCACCAGAACACTTTCTATTACTGTAGAATACTTTATTTTCGCTTGGAATTTATTTTCGCTATTTTCGCTGAAGGGACGATTCCATGAAAATAAAATCCAGCGAATATACTTTTTTTCCTACATTTCACATTAAACTCATCAGAAATCAGTGAAAATAAATTCCATATAAAACGCCCAAAAAGCCTTTTCAGCGAAAATAAAGTATTCCACAGTACATAACTATTGTTATCACCAGCATTCTACCAATGCAAATAGTAAACAGCATAAATTTGCATAGCCATGCTATCAAATTTGAATATTTATTTTGTAACAATAGACAAAAATTAACATTTAAATATTGTTTCTTACAATACCTGGCGAAACAATGAACTCACTACTAGCATAATTCAGAGAAAAAATCATTCTTTTATTTAAAAAAGTGGCAGTTCTAGACACACATATATTAGAAAACACACTAACTGGAATTACTGCTGCTTTCACTAAAATGCAGATGAAGAAATCCAGGATTTGAAATTGACATGCTTTTAAGACTTCAAACTGTCAACACACATCCTTCTTTCCCTCACACCAATTTTCCAAATGCTTTCTGTTCGAGAAATTATAATTTTACAATTAACAAATCTAGGAAAAATGATTTCTTGTTTCTCTCTCTCATTAATACATCTTTTCGTCATATCTAGGCTTCTCGGCTGGTTCAAAAAATGATCCCATATTCTTGTACGCCTTGTATGCTTTCGTCGACACATACCCACCCAATACAGTTTGATAAAAGGCAATAGTCAGAAAACGAACTTTCATATGTTTGTTCATTTTTGTGTACCATTTCCACATTCCCAACAGACCTTTCTTGTGCGGTGGTTCCATGGTCTTACTTCTGATAGCGACTGATGCTACCAATGGAGCTGCCAACAGTGTGGGATAGATAGCACCTATAGATAAAGTTAGAAGGCAATTTAAGATTTCCTCATGCACTCGCATTGGTTGGGTGATTTTTATTATTAATGTGAAAAGAATACTAATGTGCATATTTTTTGCAACACAGTAATTTCTTTAATGTTAACGTATTTTTTCCATTAATAAAACACATTACTGTAAAATACTTTATTTTCGCTTAGAATCAATTTTCACTGAAGAAATGATTCAGTGAAAATCAAATCCAGCAAATATACAATTTTTCCCATATTTTACAATCAGTAAAAATAAATTCCACACAAAACACCCAAAAAGTCTTTTCAGTGAAAATTAATTCCAGCTAAAATAAATTATTTCACAGTAAATTAAATCTGCAAATAACCTAAGAGCCAACATTTACAATGTTAAAAATAAGATTCTGCCCAGGTGAAATATCCAGAGTTTGATGTCACTGTTGAGTTTCTATTCTGTTCTGTACAAATTACATGTGCAAACCATAAAAACAGTCAATTTAGCCTCATTTTGGCTTCCATCAAAACCGAACATCATTGTAATTACAAAGAGTTCATAACAGTATTCCTGTATGTAGTGTTCTCCACACTCACAATATACATGCAGCACACATGAAATAATTCAGTATCAGTAAGGCATCTAATATCAGCTGTTTTCATTTATATCAGGTCTTTAGTGCCAAGTGAGAACTTGAAACTAAGATTCTGGCCACTGTTTCTCGTAAGATTTTGTCTGCATTAATAGTTAGTGCGTTTTGCTACAAGCTCCATGTTATTTGACATTGTTATATGACCTTTATTCAGAAATCAATGTAATATCCCATGTTCTATTCAGGGTCTAACTAAGCACAGTTGAAACCTTGCACCTGTGGACACTAAAAAAGTACAGGTGATAATTGTTTTGATGTGCACTTGATACATCAAAAAAAAACTGTCAACAAGCAATCTGCTCTCTGATTGGTCAGATTGTTAGGTGCTAGGTTTGGGGAGCCAATCGGACACAATCTTGTAAGTAGCTTTGCACTGACTCTGGGTTTGTCCTTGGCACCTTAATCCATGTAGGAGCTGCCAATCAAACATTATACATGTACAAGCACATAGGTAGACATTGGTACAGTTGTTGTCGACTAGCAGGATAAGATGGACAAATCAATTGATTTACTAGGACTATAAGCCTTCTCATTAAATCATCAATATGAAAATATGAAATTGATTGACATTCACAACTTATTAAAGTTATTTTTTAACAAATGCATCATGGGAATAATGCTACATTCTTACCAACAGCAAGATTTAAAGTAGCCCCTCTGATCTGCACACATACTGGACAATCTATTTTGCCAAGCAGTATAGGTATATTAACAAATGTATGCCACATAGCCGCAGTAGTTATGAATGGGACAACCGCCATGGGTAACGTCGACACCACTACACCCGTTGTCACTCGCATCATTCTACGATAAAACGACATTGCTACCAAACCAGACAATGATGCATTGAGGGATAGCGCTAACATTCCCGATGAAAATGGCCACCTAGAAGAAAAAAATTTTACATTAGCGATGAATACACCAATTTTATAAGTCTCATTTGTTTGTTCTATGTGTTCTTATTACTCTAAACTTTCCCATAATGTTCAGGCATTTGAAAACTGAATCATGAATCTGAAATATCAAAGCAATGGGATTAGGAAATCAACTAGAAATGATTCTGTTACTCACGCTTCCTTATTCGGCAATTCATTTATTTTCTTCCACTGTTCTTGAAGAGCTTCAGTTTCTGATAAATATTCATATTTTACGCCTTCCCTGCTACCATCATCATACTCTGCATATTGTCGGTCATCCATTTTGCATCCTATTCAAGGAAACAAATTATCTTTAGGGAACTGACTTTAACCCTTTGAACACCCTATTGTTTTAATGCAGAATTCTTTTTTTTTTAGCAAATAAAAATGCTTTGTTTGACCAGATGAACAGAATTTTCCACTGTCTACAAGTCTATCAATATTTTTGAAAAAAAAATACAGAAACCATGATGCATGTTTATACAGTGAAAGGTTGCTTTTGTCACCCGAAAGTGTTAATTTATTAAGTACTATGCCATTCTTTTATCTGAGCTCACAAAATAGATCTCTATCATATCCAGGTACACATCTATCTGGGGAGAAAATATATTTTGCTACAACTTATATTGCAGCTATATTACCTCACTTTCTGTTGACAATCTTAAAAAAATCATTTTCATGAAATAATAAATTATTTTTGTTATATATTACCGGTAACAGAATTGTTAATGTTATCTAATTGGGCAATGATAGCATTAATATTATTACCCATAATGCACTGGGGTTTGGTCACATTGCCATTCATGACATTGATATATATAATTAAAAATTCAAATGAGCTAGATAACGTGGTCTGCATGACTTGTTGTAGGAATATAATTATAGATCATATAGTTAAGAAGTGCGTGCATCTAACAATCATTTGAAATGGGACACAGTGTCGTCGATTGTCACAAAGTCGTATAGCCATCAACCAAAGCAGATATGAATGCAGTACATACGGCAACGATGTTTGTATCCAACGAATGTTATATTTTTCCAGGCAAGTGATCATTGGATAACCGAATCTTCTATCGATACAGATCTCCAGGGCGATTCAGCAACCAGTAGCAATAATTTCGACCTTCACCGGGCATTGCAATGAAATTGACGGGCTACTGCACCATGCGCGTTCTTTCTATGAGTGACATGTGCGCATGAGCAATACCAGGTCAAATGAGTTTAATTTAAAATTTGAAATATCGAGCAATGTTATCGTGTTCGGAGACCGTTGATTTATCGCACTAGATTGAGACTGTAATATATCAAAATCAGTATAAACTCGTATAATTCATTTTGAAATTATAGTTGTTTTTAGTATCTCCCCTCTGCTAAAGGTCAGTCAGGTCACATGACCAAAGCATCACTGTCCTAGGACGCCATCTTGGATAGTAGTAACTTTCAAGTTCCGTACGAAAATCCAATTTACTTCGACTGTTGGAGATCATTCGCCGTTGTCATTGTGCAACGCATCGAGGGGTTCGCAGCGTCTAACATAGTTTGCTATATTATTTGCATTTGCTGTGTCTCCACGGACGCGCAGCTAATTTTTAACGAGGGTGTGACTGTATACGCTACAAAACTGGAGTCTTTCGTTTATTCCATTCAACAAATGCCTGTTCGCAAGCAAGGTGAGGAAACCAGTGATAGGTTTTTGTGCTGTCCATATCCTCACTCCATTGTGTTTATGTTCCCTTCACGCCTTGTATGTTCTTACCTTGTATAATTCGTTTTTTTTCCAACAGTGACGCAATTTTGTGTCTTTTCCCCAGCAGATGCCCATCGGGCCCTCGAGCTGCTCGAGGATTACCACAGCAAACTTACGAAGCCGGGGGACCGACCATTACGAGCTGCCATCGAGCGTGTTATTCGTATATTCAAGAGCCGTTTGTTCCAGGCCTTGCTTGGTAAGTTAACACGATTTCACAAAAAATCAGCATTGCCATATCGCTACAATGTGCTAACCCATGAATATTTTGTTTACATTTACCTGTTTTGTGTTTTAAAAATCGACGCGTCGTGAAAGGATGAACCGTTTCGGTTATGCATGATTGCCCTACGAGTCCTTGCTTATTCTGGTTGTCAATTTGTATAGTCACAGGTGTGATTTAAAAAAACAGTATTCATGTTATAGAGTCCCTATTGATCTCTCCTCGACCGAGTTGTTGAGTTGCCTACACAGCTGTGTACCGTTCTAGTGTGTATCAACATCATCAGCGGCATACCACGAGGTTTGCGTACACGTTTTGGGTTACGACTAGTGTACCTACCCATTTAAAATATTGCAGGGGATCGCAACTGTCACTTGTTTATTGGAATTTAAACTGAGTTGTCACCCGCCTTGGGCGAAACAGGTTGGCTATCAGGGTACACTCACCCGCTACAGTGAATGTGCCCATGTCAGGTTTCTCTCATCCATGAGCCTTGTCTAACTAGAGATGATGCTGCATTGTATTGAACTCAGCATCAGGTCTGTATTGAGGATATAAATACTTGTGAGACACACACAACAACTAATTGGCTGACAATTCCAGCTTGTTAACTTGTGATTAAAATAAAATGACCTCTGTTTTCAGCTTCATTTATATTGTTTACAATTTCCATAGACACTCATACATATATTCTATATTATTGGTTATTGTACCTAAACTAACTGTGTGCAGTGTGTGTGTGTGTTTGAGTAGTGTTACCACAATACCATTTGTCCATATAACTTCAGGTGACAATAGGAAAAAAAAGAAGAGAAATAGTGTAATTGCTAGTAGGGCATTCTCCTCCAGTTACTAAACATGTTACTATGACAAAATACCGGTATATATTTTTAGAAACCTAGGAGAATACAATCTTGAACTTTTTTTGTGCACCTCTATTAGTTCTTCTTTTGTGGGATTGGTTGTTTCACAGTCCCTCTATCCCCGGTCTAGAAATGGTCATTGTATTAGGTGTGAATTGGCCTCCTACCCTGGCAAAGGCGCATTGCGGGCATGTGCAAAACATTGTCACGTGATCAGTACGCAGCCGGCCACTATTTTTGATATCGTCAGTGTTATGTATTTTTTTTACAACTTAATTGTTTATTCCGGAATTTGTGCTTTTTCACATAATTTTTTAATCAGGATATCTGTATAAGGTCATATTTTAGCCGGCGAGTAGTTCTTTGATTCATCTATTTTACCAGCAGCGACACATTTTCGCAACAAATTTTCATACCTTTATACCCAGATATTTGTCGTTTTTGATTTTGGGGTGATTGAAATGAAAGCGAAACCAATATTTGTCTTCGATTTTGACATTTTATGATCGAAACATATCATTAAAAATTGGTGGGCTGATTTGTTATTTGTCATACCGCATTTTATTAATGTTAAATTGAGCGACTTTTATGGATGCTTTTTAGATCGTAAATGCAAATGGCGACGTTTTGAAATGACAATGTACTCAATTCTGTGCTAAAAAAAATCATTTATATACAAACATTGAAGCATTGTTGTATACTTTTGCATAAAATAAAGTCATTAGTTGTTGTATAGTTGACTTGAACTGTTATGAACCCCAAGAATCAGAAATATCGCAGGTTTTTCCGATCGGCTACGTTAACATAAACGACGCCATTTTGACAAGGTTTGTTTAGCGATGTCAGCATGTTGGCGCGCAAGGTTTTTTCCCTATTAAAACGAGAAAATGAACATAATTCCCGATATTAATCTTTGCATTGCAGGAACTGGATGTTTATGAGTTGGTGGGCTGGTTGTGATGCGTATCAGGGTTCAAAAAACCCAAATTTCGTAGTGATAATTTTGTTTACATGTGTTTGTGGTTGCCCGAATTTGAAGTCATACAATGAGGTATCGCTTTGCATGACGGTAAATTTTCCGATTTTAATGAATATTTTGACGGTATTGTAATCTGTCTGACTTCCTGACTCCCTCGGCCCGGCTGTGAACTATTTGTTTACTCGCACCGCGGTTTGAGACAAAAGAGCGCTAGTCGTTTCCAGACCGGGGATAGAGGGACTGTGGTTGTTTTTGATTATTTCGTTGTTACCCCACAAGATAATAATCTTTAAAACTTGATCTTAGAATTCTTAGTTCTGATGATTTAGTCTGTCACACCTGACAGCCTGAATTTCATGGATGGGTCTGTCATCTTGCGACCATAACTCAAAATGAGAGGCGCACAAAACGAATCTGAGGCATCATTTTTTTAGCCAATTTGGATGTAAATAGATGATGTAATTTGTGCATCATTGGTAAAACAAAATTAATTTCTGTAAAAATGCAATAAAAAGTTTCTTTGTATTTAGCCACAGATCAAATATATGCTTTTCCAGTCATACTTTATATATATATATATACACACAAGTATTTGATCTACTAGGACTATTATTCTCTGAAAAAGTGGTTGACTGTCACCCAGAAAGTGACAAACTGAGCAATTTAAGTGGAGTGGAACTCAAACAAAGTGGCATATCAGGATGCTAGTTTGTTCAAGACCCTTTGTTATGTTAAACCAATCATTATACAAATCATTACCTTGTCTATAGTTTGTCTGTCACTTGGCCTGGTTACGTGATGTATGATGGAATGTTTACCCACAACTTGGTTTGGGGAAATAAACTGTAATAACTCACGAAATGCTTTGCGTACAGTAAATCACGACCAACAGTAAATAAAAAAATGCATTATAATGTTACATAATCTGAGATTGAAAAAATATTAAGGACAAATGAATAATTTATCGATGTATATATATGGCTTTTCATTGAAGTAGGTCATCACTACCCATCAATATTTCCCATCAATTTATATCTGTGATTCCCATCATTTAAATAATTAACTAGAGAATAATTTATATTGTGGCTAGCACACATATTTCTGTTCGTATACAGTGCTGCTAAATAAATGAGATTAGGATTTGAACCATCATCAATCGTCCCTTTTGAGCGTTCATGTTATTTCATTTAACCTTTATTCTTATAAAGATGTTGCCAATTCAACAGAAGATACATGTGCATTTTGGAAATGAGATCACTTCATGCGCACAACCATTTAGTCTTTAATTAGTATGCTCTTAATATGTAATCCTACCTCCTCCCATGCCCCATACTGCTCTTTGAAATAAAGAATAATATTAGTGGAAACCAATGAGAAGATGAAAGTCACTATAAAATTTATGTCATCGTTATAGTAATGGGAGTTTAAGAAGGTCAGGTTTCTGTTCAGTAATGCCTTTAATAATTATAATGGCATAGGCATGTAGTTCTTAGATGTGATTCTTGAACTTTGACCTTCTTATTGAAAACAATTAGAAGCCACATTACCAGTAGGAATAATACAACCTAAATGAGGCGCTATCGACACCCAAGATTTCAAAATCCTCTATGATCCTTTATGGCAATTCCTTCTGAGTAGTCAGTTAATAGTGCTGGTACAGTATCTTGTTCTCTGTATTCAAATTCCAACCAGCATTGGTACCATTTATATATTGACTCTTCAAACTGATTGACATTGATTTTGATTACATAACACTGCAACTATTATTATTAATACTCATTAATTTCCCTGATGAAATTACATTATTATTTCAAATTGATAATAGCATTTCAAAGAATTGTTATTTTATTCTTGAAATTCATTTATTTATTTCTTGAAAGTATTTTAACGAGTTTTTAGCATATTTCACGCCATAACAAAAACTGCTAACATTAATATAGATATTGACTGAAATCAATTGCCTTGTTTGCTATTTATTTTAAATGTAAATATATTTTTTAAAGAAATGTATGTGAGCAAACAGAAGGCCATTGATGTGTGCATAATGGTTGGGAATGTTTATCCTTTCTATAAATATAATAATTAACAACATGGGATGGTATGTGAGAAACCTACATGCTTCATAAATTAATGTCGGTAAAGCCAGTGTTTGTGTTCTCTCTAGTGGCACTTCAGTTTTATGGCTTTTCGTTCTATAGAGAAATGCAATTGATATCGTGCAATCGATGAGTTGGCAGAAAATAAAACTTGGTCTAATGTGCGTTAGCTATTGGGATATCAGAAGTGATTGTGTGCTCTGGTTGATTCACGTCTTACAAAAAAAAAACAGTTCTCTTTCTTTCATAGTGATCTTGAGTCATCAATATGCAAATTGCCTAACTAATTTAATCAAATTATTGCTCGGTGATAAATGTGTCTT